AATACCATTTAACATGTTCTTAAATTCATAAAACTAAATAGTGGATAATTTATAAATGTTTCTGTTTAGAACTTTTAATCAAAATAAGATAAATTTAAGGATGGTGTAAGTAGTAGACACAGAGGACCTCAAACCAAGTTACTATATAGATTCAGTATTTTAATTTATTCAATGGGCTGATTGGATGTAAAGTACTTGTTCTAGATTCTACTGTCTGAAGATAGATAATTACAAAAATTAAAGCTGATAAATGTACATATTCTTGACTAGTTATTACAGCTAGAAGAAAACAGTATCGATTGGATGAAACTGGTCAAAAAAATCTGAAGCTAATTAGTGACAGATCTAAAATATAACCAGTTATCAGTATCATGTGTGTAAATATGTATTTTTAAATACCTTTTTGAGAGGACAAATCATCTTTCATTCAAACAAAAAGGGCATAGTTAACAAAAGATGCACTGAGAGTGGCCACAGCCCAGGAGATACTTCTGGGAGGTGACAGGCTTTCTGTGATCCTGCTGGGGTTTGGACAAAATGGTGAGAAGTACTGGGTAGGTGGTGAGTGGTGGCAGCTACAGAAAAGAGAAAGCACCAGTTGTCTGAACATTGTTGGCAGGTCATGCATGGGACTAACAATCTTGGGGGGTCCCAGTCATTCCCTAGTGCCTGGAGGGGCACAGGACAGGAACCCCAGGATGACAGCACATACATGCGTGTGTGTGTGTTAATATACATATACATGCACACATTATATATGTATGTTTACTTATCAGTATACATCTAGATACACTTCCATCTCTGTGTACATACATACTTATTAATTTATGCTACTTGTAATCGTTTTTAAGCAAACCATTTAGTCTTGATCTCAGTTTCCCACTCTAATGTTCACAATAACTACTTCACAGATTTTAGTAAAAATTAAATTATATATTATTAAATATATTTTATACATCTAAAGATACATAAATTGTGTATATTTAAATATAAAAATTTGGTTCAGTGTATGTATATACATGACACAAGTAGGTTTGAAAGCCTGAAATTAGTATTACATTGTGACTGTTTAGTTTCTTACTTTGATGATATCATACATTTATAATGGGGACATTATTATTAATAAATGGAGACAATATTATTAATCTTATAACCCAGTAATAGAGGGATGAATTCTTCCTCTCACATCTACCTGAGTAGGATAAAACATCTGCAGTGCCCATCCCAACTGAAACCATGAATCTTTAAGCTCTTAAATTGTGCTGCCACCCATGGTGGTCAAACAATTCCTAAACTGCACTAATTATAACTTTTAACCAATTTTCTGTGATTCAGTGAATTTAGCAGAAGTACTTTGGAGAACCATGTAGGGAGGAAAATAATTTTCCTCTACCTTTCTAGATTCTTTTCTGACACACTTTTGTAATAAAAAGATAGATTAGCAAGAGGAAAAAAAGTTTAATAATATGTATACCTCCTGTATACATGGGAGAGACCCAGGGAAACTGAATAACTCACTCCCTGAAATGACCCAAGCCACCACCTTAAGTATCATCTCCAGCTAAAATCAAGAGATGTTGGGCATTGGGGTTGCTAATTATTGGAGGTTATCAGGAAAAGCACAGTAAAAAAGGGTGTGATTGCTATGCAGATTTGTCACTGACTTCTCCATGGATAAATTTCTAGAGATTTAGCAATCCTCCTCCTCCTAGTAGAGAGGAAGACAAGCTTACAAATAGAGATTTCCCTTATAAATGCAAATGTCACTTACAAAAAGGTAATTTCCACTCAGTTTTCAGAGTTGCTTTTCTAAATTTCATTCAATTCTTATAGAAATAAAAATATTTTATTTCTAGCACTTATTACTGTTTTTTCTAAATAATTTTCTGTTGCATCCCAGTTTCCTCCCTCTTTGTAGGGTATTTATACTCTGAAATGGAATGTAGTTACATTCAGAGTTTATAAAATTATGAAATTTGCTTAAAAACTTGCATGTATTAATAGTTGTACATGCAGTGTATATAATTTGAATATAATCACACACACATTCATACATGTATGCATGTTTTTTTAGCCAATGTTTTCTCACACACTGGAAAGGTTTATTAAAATTCTTTACAGCTATTTCTTATCCTTTATGGTTAGTATGATACACTCAATGATTCACATACAAGTAAATTTTGTATGTAAAATTGACTCATTTAGCTAAGTTGAATAAGTAGCAATATTCAAAGTACCTGTAACATTAAATATGGTCATGAATGAACTTTTGGGAATCAGCAAAGCATATATGACTTTTCTTCAATATGTGGTGTAGGGTATTTATGAAAATGAATATTCCTGGACTCCACTGCAGACCTGATGATTCAGAACTTTTAGTGCATGGTCAGGAAGCTCCAGTTTAGCAAGTTCCTCAGGTGATTCACATTACAGCACTGTAGTCAGGCATGTGACAGTTTAGATAATTTTGAATTTCAGAAGTTATTTTACCCCTAAGAAGAGATATTAGCAATTAACATCATCACCCCAATACTTTACATTTCTTTTTGTTTTACTTTAGTGTAGATACAACATAATGAATTTAGTCAATTTAATGAGGAAGAAAATGTGTTCTTTGGACTATGTAAATGAAAAGTCAATTAAAAGTGTTATTTTTTTGTCCTTTTAATTTTCCTTCAACTTGCTAGGTGGTTCTACTGTCACTGTTTACCCAAAAAGCCTCTTTCACATTGGCTCCTAGGATCCCACATTGTTCCAGTCACTTATTGTCCTTTTTCAGGATCAGCTTTAGAGATCAGAGTTTCTATTTCCATCCAGCCTATTCAGCCATTCAAATGGCTTTTTTTATGGGATTGCAGCAAACAAACTCTGATCACATCCTCTGCACCAAATTGCAATGACTCCATTCTCTGTGTCATTACTGAGAAAATGTGAAAATCCTCCTATTGTAGATTTTAATGAAATATAACTCCCATTATATAGAGCTTTTTAAAAAGCTCATTTAGGCTACTAGGATAAGAGTTGATTAAAAATGTATCACTACATGATATTGGGGAGAAAATGGTGGGACTGTTGCAACAAGAAGACATCTTAAATATGATAATATTATAAATAATAAATCACAACATTTTAGTTAAAATAAGACCACCAGAAATATAATATATAAAAATGTCCTCACCTATTTAGTTATAAGACTGTTTACAAAGATGGATGTAAGTGAGTAGGAAGGAAAGATGTATTTCCCTGTCTTGTCTAGGTTTTAATCCACAGGTTTCATAAGTGGTAGGAATATGAGAATATTTTCTGTCCATAAGCAACTATCGACTCTCTAATTTCTCAAACAAATAAAGGTCTAAGAGCTACACAGAACACAATATTAAATAGAAAAAAAGTTTACATATTTTGAATAGAAAAAAATGTTTTTCCATTCTATTAAAATGTATTACACATAAATCATTTCTAGTAAAAGGCCCTCTGCTCTTCTAAGAAAGCTATAACTTAACCTTGTATTCTTGATGAAAAGAGTCTATTTTATAGTAAAGGGGGAATGTATGAAGAATTATACCACCCCCATCTCTGTTTAGAAACTCCAAAGAGGCTCTCACTCCTTGTTTTACCCTAGTCTATTCTTTATCATAAATCTGCATTTCTCGTTACCCACCCTAAAAAATGGAGGACCAGAGAGGTTTAGAAACTTTCAATAAAATAATAGTTAAACCCATTCTTGTTTCCTCTCCTTGCTACAACTAACATAAGAGTGTCAACTCCCATGAAAACCTTAGAGCAATGTCTTTCTTCTATAGTTAGTTTTTCTTTTTGGGGGGAAGGAGATACTGAGGTAAAAAAAAAAATCTTATAGAACTTTATTTCCAAATGACAGTGTAGAAGAGTGCAAGTAATGTAAATGGTGCACTTTTAACATGCCTTTGGTTCTGGCTGGAAATCCTGAGGGTGTATTTGTGCGTTGGGGTGGAAGCACTGTTTAGGTGGTAGATAAGTGGTGAACTCTATGTGGAGGGATTTCCCCTGGTACTTTTGATGTAAAAAAGTCCAAGAATAATCAGGTGCAAAGCACTTCAGAGCACACACTTGCTAGGGTTTTTGAAAATCATCTTCCCCCTCCCCATCTTTTCTGTAAAGGGCAGCAAGCCTCGAAGGCATGAATGCCTAACTTCACCATTTTGGCATTACATTCGCCTGGGTTAGCATATTGTCTCAGCACTGTAGGAATGCCAACTCTTGCCCCAGGCATTCACCAACTACATTCTCTACCCCATGCCCAACAGTCCCCTCTCCCATCTCAAAGAGAGGGTAGGAGTAATCAGAGCAGAGTCCCCGAACATCATTAGTGTTCCTTGGCTCCGACAGCCTTCTGCCTGCACTACCCGGGTGTCCCGAGTACAATTAGAGATGCCCTGTGGGGTGAGACAAACCTCTTCCCTTTCGGTCCTGCCCAGGACTGCTGTCCTTGGTGCTGAACCGTGTTTGCCGATCAGGGAGTCTGCTGCCAGGTCCATGGGGCTGTTTAGAAAACCTGGCTGACTGATCGTAAGAATGCCCAGGTGCCGGAGGAAGCAGTACTCTGGTGTACAGGAACAGAGCCCCTCCCCCCACACAAACGCCAGGACCCCGTTTGCAGTTTTCTCCTCCAGACCCCCACCCAAAACACCTCCAACATGGCCTCAAAGCCTGCAATTATCCGCAAGCCCACCTCGACATCAGCTGCAGTATTATCAAAAAGCTACTCCCCAAACACAGTCTTTATGACGTTGGCTTTTCCACTCTAAACCAAAACAAATAAAATCCAGTAAATTAACAAACGAAAGTGACCTTCCTCTTTCCTCCCTCTTCTGCCTGCCCCATATATTCACATTCCTTAAATTACAAAGCCCCAGACTCTGGAAGAGTGCTTTAAATCCCGGTGGTCTCCCTAGTTCCCTATGCCCACCCCTCCCCCCAGCTCTCCGAAACAAAACGACGCCGAAAACCTCTCATCTTACCCCGGGTAGAGTGAGAGCAGGAGCAGAATCCACACCGTCATTTTCTGCGAAAATACAGGAGTGGCGTAGACAGGGCTTCTTGGGCTCCATGTATTTGTCGAACTCATCGCTGCCCCCCCTCCCTCCTCTGCCTCCTGCCTCTTGCCTCTCGGTTAAAGAAGAATCCCTCCCCTTTGTATTATTATTATGCTTATGATCTGGTGGTGGCTCCCCCCGCCTGCCTCTAGTAGGTACCGTCACTGGGGAGCTGTATTGCTACCAGCTTTGAGAATTAATATTCAGGGGGCAGAAATAAGATCAGCACAAACGCTTGCAGATGCCATCAAAGCGTCAGCTCGGGGAGCGGCTTCCAAGGCTGGGGGAATAATATAATTGAGGCAGGGGGAGGGTACTGGGAGAGACGCACAGCGAGACAAATAAGGGAGAGAAATGCGCGCACACTCATACACACACTCCTGCGTCTCACACTCACACATACTCCCCCAGGTCCGTCCTGTTTATTTTGATTTTTCTTTTAGAGGGTGACAGAGCTGTGTGTGTGCGTGCGTGTGTGTGTGTTAAAGAGAAATGAAAATACCGCTAGGGCAGCAGACTAACCATGAGGTCAAAGTGGAAGTGATTCATGCTGCTGCAGCACGAATTTACACATGCGTGATGCCTTTGCAACCCTTTTACACTCTTTACTGCACACATAAGCATGCCAAGACTGGCCTTCATGGGGACAAGATATGCTTTAGCAAGCTCATAAACTGTATCACCAATGACAGACGGTTTGTCTCATCACATCTGCCAAGAATCCTCATTTAAATTCGTGCAGGCTGTGAAGTCGTGGTTACATTGTAGGGGGAAGGGAGCGGCACTGGGGGAGGAGTGGCTGTTTTTTTTTTTTTTTTTTTTTTAACTATCCTGTAGGAAAACAGATTTGGTTAATATTCTGTTTGAATGAAAGGAGAATAGATTGATAGAATTAAAAGACATGAAGATATTCCATCTCCCCAGGATTCAGTCCTCCCTTTTCTGTTCCCTTTCCATCTTCTGTGAAAATGAAAGACAAAAACTTACTATAATGGTGAAAATACAATCACATAGAGATAACTGCCTTAGTAAAGAACATAAACCACAAAATAGGGGGCTGCTTTTTGAAGGGAGGTTAGGCAAAGAGAAAAGATGATGAGATTTAACAATATAAAGGGATTTCTATTTGCTGTGTAAGAACTGCCTTTTTCTTTCTTCTGCTTGGTGACCATCCTGAAATTTCTTGGGCTGATGAGTGGTGTTTGTATGCTTCCTTCTTGCTTAGAATGTTACCATGGATACTGACACATGGGAGATACACCTTTTCACCACCCTGGTTTAGAGGAAACCTAATTCACTCATCATGAGAAACAAGTGGAGGAGTGTTTACATGTTCCTCTAGAGTTGAGACCTTAACAAAGACGTCCGTGGAAAGGTAAGGGGAAGAACAATCGGACTCCTTCCTGGAACATAGCAGGAAGTCATTTCAAAACCAGTACCATTTCTAACAAGCAGAAAGTCTTCCAGTAAGAAGTAAGTGGACTTGAGCAAGGAGTCCAGGGGGCATAGGAAAAGAACAGGAGATAAGGGGAGTCTACACTCCATTTGCAATCCTAAAATATACCCAAGGAAGGCAGAGAGAATTACTGGTGGCTTTACAAACGCCATAATTTGATGGGGTGCATTCTGACAATGAAGCAAAAAAACAAACCTAATGGACACACCTGGAAACCTGCAGGCCTTTAGAACTCTGCCTTTGGTGGTCACTTTATGGCAAACAAAATCTGATGAAAACAAAACTACATTCATGTGCAGCAGTTAACTGGCCTCTTTCTATTGTGATTAAATTAGAGGCAGAGCAAATGTAAATCCCTTTCGTGGTAATTCTCTTGTTCTTCGTTGCACTGTGAGCAAGTTGGCTCTTATCTCTATCTCTCTCTCTTTATATATATATATATATGTATGTATTTTATATTAACAAGAGTCTAGGTTTTTAATGGCAGTGTATTTGTTTTCAGTAAAGATATCCTATCATATTTTTGTAGGCCAAGGCTTACATGCTCAGATGCCTTCAAAAACCAAGCGTGTGAGAATGATGAAAGAAAAGGACTGATGGTGCATCAGTGGAGTGGTGGAAACCATGCACACTGAGTGACCAAACCCCACTGCAATGGAGTGGCCACTGCTCTGTTCCAGTCAGGGTTCCCAGGGAAATGGATAAAAATTATGAGAAATGGCCTAATTTTTAAAACCCAAAGGAGGCCAAATCAGGTCTGCAGGACATTAGGTTGCAAGTATTGCTTCATACCACATAAAAAAATTGATGTGACAGCTCTGCCATCTACCATACAAACATTTCCTATTTTCCAACACGTTTTTTTCCTTAGAGTTTAGTGACAAGCATATCGAAGCTGTGAGTCTGAATGCTACCACATTCACAAAGTATTAACTCACATACTGATCCCTTATAAGTACCATAATGATCCCTGTAAGTTATAATTTATTTAAATAATGTAATACATCCCAGCCTATTAAGAGAATCCACTAGGAAATTTTACTATTTGTAGTGTCAGGGTTCAGTGGTAACTGTGCTATTCCTGGATAGTGGGCTTCAGTTTGCCTCTGCCTCTGTCATTTTTCCTATTTGTTGGCTGCTCGCTGGAAAAAAAAAAGCATTTAATATAATTCTCTAAGATTTTGTAACACATTATATTATTAAAATTATACACATCATTATACACGTATATAACATATATTATACATATTATTAAATATATCATACCTATTATACATATATTATACATATACATATTATACATATTATATATATATAACATATATATTTGCTGGTATTTGTAATAGGCCTCATCCAGTAATTTCTTTTGTAATCATCTATTAGCTATATTTATTTTTGCCCATTTTTAAGAAGACATATTTGTCAAATATATTTAAATAACCATTATTTGATAAATATGTTTATATTTTCATTGTAAATAATACACATATACATGATAAATGAAAAACTCTAGAGACTGAGAAATATTTGACATAAATTAATTATAGAAACAACACAGAGTAAAACTCCAAATGCGTACACAAACTTGAGGAAAGGGGTTACGGGCCAACAAGTAACCTGGGAGAAAGTAAAAACAATAAAACTATTTTTAAAAAGCAAAAGAGAAAATTCTGTCACTGAAAGTCATCATGCCAAAAAAGAAAACTTGTTCCTCTGGCTGTGACAGCCCCCTCACACGGATGTGCTTCTCACATGAGACCCCCCTATATGCCTTTCCAGAAGGTGCACAGCGGGGACAGAGAAGAGCCCCAGGCACGGCCCCAGCTCTTACTTCACGGGCGTGAAACGCCACGAGGCTATACAATCACTATCTTTTGTCACGTACAAATGGCACTTCCGTGTGGGCTGCTCCACAGTCCTCTGCCAGCCCGCAGGAGGAAAAGCAAGGCTTACAGAAGGAGGCTTCTTCAAATAGGAGCAGATCTAAAAGTACCCTGAGTCAAGATGAGTGGGAAACCATTAAAATAAGCACATTTTGGATAAAGTGAAAAAAAGCAACAAAACAAAAAATAACTGAAACTGCTGAGATGATATTTCAAATGCCACTCACTGCAGCAGGTACTGAGTTTGGAGTTAGAACCCTACGGAGTTAGAGGGTCCTGACAAATACTTTAGACTTTCCTTTAAAACCCTGGAAGCACCATAACACTTCTCTGTTCTAGGACTAAGGATTTGCTCTAAGATTAAGGACAAAACTGAAACTGACCTGGAAACAGTGTTAAACTAATCCTGCACAGAATTAAGGCGATTTGTTAATAATTTAAACTCCTATTAGAACAAAAGTCAGTGTTCTTTAGAGGAGCATTAAAAATCAGAATATGTCAATAATATATAAAATACCTCATACGTGGTAAAAGTAATCATAAGACATAAAAAGTATAGGATAATGGGATACATATTTTAAAAAATAGAATTTAGTATAAAAACCAAACCTGAGATGTAATTAGCAAATAAAGACATTCAATCAACTAATTTAAAAACCACGAACTTAAAGGAAAACATGGTTATGATGTTTATATGGCCAGTAAATATACAGTAGAGACTCTCAGCAGAGAAACATCATGCCTGAAAGGAAAAATTTATGCATGGGTTTTTATAGCAGATTGGCAATTACCTGCCTGTACATATGACACCTTGCTTGTTAATACAAATATTATAACAGTACCTTATAGAGTTTATAACATATGTATGTATAAAATATGTCAACAACAGCTAAAAGTATCTCAGAGTTGGGGTTAATTACACTGTTGCAAGCTTCTTATCTATTTCATCAAGTGTTATAATAGCAACTAAACAGACTTTTATAAAGATGAGTATGGCAATCCTTAAAACAACACTAAAAATATACATAAAAAGTCATAGCTAAAAATCATTGAGAAATTAAAATCAAATACTAAAATATATTTCATAAGTGCAAAAGGCAGAAAAATACAGAAAACATGGGGAAAATAATGGGACAAACAGCATAAATAGCAAAATAGTGGCTTGAAGTAGATGTGAATACAAGGAATATTATGAGAGATAATGCAGTATTTCTTACAATTACGAAAGGATCAACTTTTCAAGAAGACAAAAAACCATAAAATTTTACACACCTAATAATAGAGCTTCAAAATAAATGAAGATAAACTGACAAAGCAGGAGAAATAGACAAATTCCACAAATATAGTTGGAGATATTAAAAGCCCTCTGACCTGACATTTTAAAGATACTATCCCCAATAATTGCAGAGTGAACTGCAAAATGTACATACTTATGCACTATTCATAAAATAACCCTCAATAAATTTCAAATTTTTGGAAGCTTACAGTATATATACTCTTAACACAACATAACTCAACCAGAAATCAGTAATAGAAAATGGAAAAATTCCAAAAGTTTTGAAAATTGAACAACATAATTCTAAATAATAGATGGATCAAAGAAGAAACCACGTTTCAAAAAAAATGAAAATGAAAATATAACATACCAAAATTTGTTTGTGGAATTAAAAAGGCACCCTGAGGAAATTTTATACTATAAATACATAGAAAAGAAGGAAGATTAAAATCAGTTATCCAAGCTTCTGGCTTTAGAACCTAGAAAAAATAATAAAGAGTCCTAAATGTGTATTTTTGTTTGACTTTCAATAAAGGTGAGACATTTTACAGGGGAAAGAGTAATGTTTTAAAATAATCTTGGAACAAACAGGTAAATTATCTTAAAAACTAACCTTTACCTTTTATTTCACCACACATGCAAAAACTAAAATCATGAATTTTCAGAAGGAAAAAAGAATATCTTCATGACTTTGGGTTAAGCAAAAATTTCTTCATGAAGACATAAAAAGTATTAAGCATAAAATATGAGAATGATAAGTTGGATTTTATAAAAATAAAAAACTCTGTTCATCAAAAAACTCACTAAAAATGAAAAATCAAGGCACATACA